GGGGGGGGGGGGGGGGGGGTAGCTAGAGAGGAGGTGCACCGAGATGGCCCAACCGAGGTCGAGCGGCAGCTGTGTGCGGCATGCGACGGTGCGGCCCTGCTGCGAGAGCGGGAAGCGCTCGCAACGCACCACCTGCGCGCGGGAGTGTTCCGAGACCTTTCCGGGAGCCGCCGAGGTTGCACGAGATCGGCCGAGGCACGAGATTCGGCCGAGGCTGCGCGAGATTCGGCCGAAGTTGCACGAGATTCGGCCGAGGTTGCGTCTCCGCCTGCTCGACTCCGGACTCGAAGCGGACGATTGGAAGCCGCGTGGACGATATCCGCAGGACGATGCCGCGCGCGCCGTTGACGAGGCCGCGGCTCGCATCGAGGGTCTTGATGAGGACGACCTGCGCCCTCGCCTGTGTGGGGAGATGGGGGGAGATATGCTCGAGATCTGGGGAGATGGTCCTCTAGGCGAGTGCTGGGGAGATGGGGGGAGATATGCTCGAGATCTGGGGAGATGGTCCTCTAGGCGAGTGCTGGGGAGATGGGGGGAGGTATGCTCGAGATCTGGGGAGATGGTCCTCTAGGCGAGTGCTGGGGAGATGGGGGGAGATATGCTCGAGATCTGGGGAGATGGTCCTCTAGGCGAGTGCTGGGGAGATGGGGGGAGGTATGCTCGAGATCTGGGGAGATGGTCCTCTAGGCGAGTGCTGGGGAGATGGGGGGAGGTATGCTCGAGATCTGGGGAGATGGTCCTCTAGGCGAGTGCTGGGGAGATGGGGGGAGATATGCTCGAGATCTGGGGAGATGGTCCTCTAGGCGAGTGCTGGGGAGATGGGGGGAGATATGCTCGAGATCTGGGGAGATGGTCCTCTAGGCGAGTGCTGGGGAGATGGGGGGAGATATGCTCGAGATCTGGGGAGATGGTCCTCTAGGCGAGTGCTGGGGAGATGGGGGGAGATATGCTCGAGATCTGGGGAGATGGTCCTCTAGGCGAGTGCTGGGGAGATGGGGGGAGGTATGCTCGAGATCTGGGGAGATGGTCCTCTAGGCGAGTGCTTGTGGACGTGGAGATCTGGGGAGATATGCTCGAGATAGGGGGAGATATGCCTTGAGGGCGAGGGCGTCGGGCGCGGCACAGCTCGCGCGCAGCAGCCGCAGCGCCTCGTCCGAGTCTGACGTGTCTCTCGCCGAGAAGTTGGTCGCGCCGCCGCCGAGCGCCGCGAGCCGCTCGGCGTTGACGCGCGCACAGTCAGAGCGGTGCGTGTACAGCCGGGTGGGGACGATGCCGTCGGACTCGTCTAGCCGCGCGCCTGGAAATGGGGGCCTCCTGGGAGCATCAT